ACATCTCTAGTGAAAAGTTATTTGGAAGTTAACTTTATCTTATTTCAAGTGTACTAACATATCTGCACTGGAAACTAGACCAAAAATTCTTGGTAAGTAATATTTTTGCGGTGTGTTTCTATAGATCACTGACGTTAAATATAAAATAGATTTTATTGTGACGCTTAGATAACATGTGCTTAATTACAAGTATTTCTTAAGTATTGAATTTGATCAAGGAACTACAGTCACAACCCCGTCTTTTGTCTCCTTCTGGTGGCGCGCTGCAGGAGCTGCAGCAGAAAAGAGCGCAGCGAACCTCAGAAGTGCAGCAAGCAGCAGAGTCGGAGCTGGAAAACCTGCGGCAAACGGGGGCTGTGGGACGAAAGAAGCAGCCCAAGATTGCCGTCGCCAACAAAAGCCCGACATCACCGAACAACAACAGTTCCCCGATGTCGCCCACCGACACCAAGACTAAGAACACAGGTCTGTAGGTCCTGGCTGTCACTCCTTCCGTTTTCAAATAATTTGTCCTTATTTAGGCATAGATATTTGGAGAAATTGTTCCCCAAATACCTACATATTTTATCGTTGTATTAAAATGGTTGGTTGGTGACGTGTTTCAACAGACTCCAATTTAAACATCCCAGCTGATTTTGGAGAGCTGAGTTTCAGAGCCATTTCTCCAGCTTTGTCCAGTAACAAAGGGTCACAGTGCTCTCAGGTGAGTTGTTCCCCCATCTTCTTTCCTCATAAACCATCTGGACCTCCAGGTCTTTCATTGTTCCATTCTGAGTGGGAGAACTCAGCACAGATAAGAAGGATAATTCATCTTGTTCTGCTTCAACTGAAAACATCTGATGTTGTTCGTTTAGGGACGACATTTAGCCCATGGTCTGAGTAATGTTTTTATTTTTTGTCTCCTTCTGGTGGTGTCTTGCAGGAGCTGCAGCAGAAACCAGTACACCGAGCAGCAGAGGAACAGACATCCGAAGTGGAGCTTGAATATCAGAGGAAAGCTGGAGCAGGAGGACGGAAGAAGCTTCTCAGGATCCCACCGACCAACAACAGTCTAGCCCCACTGAGCAGCAACAACAACCCAAAGTCTCCCACAGACAACAAAAGCAAGAACACAGGTGTGACCTGTCGGCTAACATCAGCGTCTTCGTCGGGTGTGTCCGAATTCAGGGTCTGCATCCTTCGAAGGACGGATTTGTAGGCCGATTACGTCATAGCGTGGCGACAAGGCCTGTCCGAATTCAAAGACTCCTTCAAATGCATCCTTCAAATGCGTCCTTCTTTTCCCCAGATTTGAAGGATGGGTCCGGTGTATCCTTCACGGCCCACGATATCCCATAATTCATTGCGGGTTCCAACTGGGCGTTCAGGCAGAGCGTCAATGGCGGTGAATAGCGACAAATTATTTAGCTTTATAACACTTTAAATGACACAACGTGATTTGGTACAACGTTTTTAGGCGAGAATGTAAGTGTGTAAATCTCAAATATATGCTCGGTTCATCAATACATCACCTAATTGCAATATTGCTCTGACATTTTCGGACCTGTCTGCTACCGCTGCTTTAACAGCCAGCTCCCCTCCAGCTGTCAGCTGGCCGGGCGCTCCAGGTTCGGTACACCGAGAGAAAACGCCTAACTCCTGGCACATTGTTATAAAAACTCCCGCTAGCTTTCCCCAATGAGTGGGAGTTAAACACCGATATTATTCAGACAGGTCTGGTTGAAAATGTTTGGTTTACAAAGTATTTCAAAGCAGAGCACATCGGTTTGATTGATTAATTAAAGTTAAGCCTTCAAATATAATATGTTTATTTAACCGTAATGTCCTATCTGCGATGTGGAGAGTATTATATTTGTAAATGAATAATTTGTATTCCTTGTAGAAAAGTGCAGTACACATTTGAACATTTTAGAATCAAACCAAGAGATTTCCTTTTTACTATGGAACATCCTTTACTATAAAAGGTGAAGAATAATATAGAATTCAGTAATACATGAGTGAAAAACAAACTTCGGCTCCGTTGTTTTTTCTTCTTCTCCTCTCTCTGCTTCGCGCTGTCACGGTTGCTTGGCAACATGAGTTACGCTGAGGTGGGGGCGGGGACAGTTGGTGAAGGCTAGACCTGTCCGAATCCACAGATATTTTTCTTCCGGTCTTAGTTTATTCCCGGCCTTCGAAGGACCCGTCCTACGTAGACCAGTCCTTCGAAGGATGCAGACCCTGAATTCGGACACAGCCGTCAAAACGCGTTTGGTTTCAGAGGATTGAAACTGGCTTTGTTTGTTTCTCCAGACTTTAATCTAAATGTCGTAAATGACGGAACGGATCTCGGGTTCAGAGCAGTTTCCCCCGTTTGCTCACATCACAGAAGTTCCCAGGTAAGGAACGGGATATTTGCGGTTTTGTATTTTCCCGTAGTTCCTCCATCTGGTGACATTCCTGAGCTTCTCCGATATGTGTGTGCGCCGCAGGACCTCCTGCAGAGGTCAGTGAGTGTGGAGGACCAGCGTCACGGAGCTCCGTCCAGCCGACCTCAGTCCAAAACCACCCTGAATGAGCTGCTGGACACCCTGAAGCTTTTGGAGGAGGAGCCGGAGAAACTGTCAGAGCCGAGGTGTTATCAGAAGGAGAAGTACGCCTGGATAGATGAGGTCAGCGTTGCTTTTTTTAAATCCACCGTTTTTGCACTGAAACTGTAACAAATCGACGCAACCCAGCTCACATCTGAACCTCATCGAAGGACGGCGACTCTCTGACCACGGACAACCTGGAGCGCCACGGCCAGCTGAGTCAGAATCCCGTGCTGCCAGATGGGGGCGCTCTGCTCTCTGAGGCCAAGCTGCAGAGCATCATGAGCTTCCTGGATGAGATGGAGAAGTCGGAGCAGGAACGGCCACGCTCGGTCACCTCTGGGTCACATAGAGAGGTGGACAGTTATTTGTTTTCAGATTTATTTTTTTTTCCATTTCTGCGGGTTATTTAGCTAGTAGAGATGATTATAAATTTGTGGCTGCTTTCCGGTGTCCTATAAAGCTTTAACCTTCCGATATTTTCTTTGGACAATTCCAGTTTCTCATAATGAGAACAGCAGTACGGTTTCCATGTCTGATGGAAGTCTCTGTAAGAACAGGATTGCACCATTTTAAAAGCAGGACTAAATGGTTTGCCGTTTTTAAATTGTGTTTAGTGTTTTATACTAGTGATTAAGCGGGACCACTGTGTATTCTTAGATTTATATATTTACCTTTACTCTTTGATTTCATGAAGGTTTGATGTTCCAGGCTCCATGAAGGACGCAGTTTGAAATCTCAAAAGCATAAAACAAGAGAAACTTTGATTCAATTCAAGTTTATTTCATCGAGCGGCGCGCGGTGAACAATGCTGCACGATAAAAACAAAGCATCTGTAATTTACAAACTTAGTCCTTAGTTGGACCTGTGTAATATTTTGAGCCTTCCTGTTATCTGCTTGAAGGTATTTCGCTCCCTCTCTCATCTTGAATAAACTCTAGACATGTTTCACCATAAAACCAATTTCCTATTAAATAGCTTCCTACATTAGGTGCGACTTCCTGATTTGCTGTTGTTCGCAGGCCGTCTTGTCTGAGGAGGAGCTGGTTGGCATCGATCACGTGTCGGCTACTGCTGCTGAAGTCAGCAGCTCCATGATGAGGATCAAACTGGAGCTGGAGGAGAAGAAACGCACCGTCAACATGCTGCAGGCTGCATTGGTGTGGAAGCTGACAACGCGCGGCATTTTTTTCTACTCCTGCTTGATTACATGCTTACATCTTCGGGTGTGTTTCTTTTTCTTTTTTTTTTTTTTAACCCCTGCAGGCTCAGCAGAGGGAGCTGACAGCAAGACACGTGAAGGAGACGGAGAAAGAGCTGAGCAGAAACTTCCAGCTGCAGAAGGAACAATATGAAGCCACCATCCAGAGACACCTGACCTTCATAGACCAGGTGAGCGCCGAACTTTAAAAAAATAAATAAATAAAAAAAAAAACACCTGACTTCTGCTGTCTGTTTACGGTTTAATCTGAGGTTTTCTGTCTGTCCTTAGCTGATCAATGATAAAAAAGCTCTGAGTGAGCGCTGTGAAGGCGTGGTGGCCGAGCTGAAGCACGTGGACCAGAAGTACACCAAGAAGATTGCGCACATGCAGCAGCAGCACGAATTGGTGAGTGAGACTCGTGTTTTCACTGCAAGCCGTCCTGTCTGCGCTCTGCCTCTTCCGCTGACTGTTACCTGCTTCCTTGTGGTTCTGCTTCTGTCTAAGTCTCTCCTCTCATCCCTTGTGCCTTTCGTCTCTTCCCTTCTCCTCTTTCGTGTGGGTTTACCTGTTCTTTTTCACCTCGTAGGTGTGGCAAATTCTTGGCCCCTTGTGTGAGGTAACAGGATTTTCTTCTCTGAATCTGTGGCACTTCTGGCTCATGTCTGTTTTTTTTTTGTTTTTTTTTTGTCATTCATTTCTCACGGCATCAATATGTCTGACATCACTTTCCATGGACAGTCTGTCTGCATGTGAGTCCTCTGAGTGACTTCTTAAAATTAATCACATTCATGCCTCGCAGTTCATTTTTCTTTTTGCCATCGTTTCCTCTCGGATACATCACTTCCTGTCTGTGTTTTACTAACATCACTCCTGCCTTCGTGTCTTCATTAGATTCAGATTTTATTTCTCTGGTTAGTTACTCCGACGCCTCGTTTCTGCAGGAGATTAAAAAGCTAAAGGACCTGATGAGCGCCACGGAGAAGATCCGCAGAGAGAAATGGATCGATGAGAAAACCAAGAAGATTAAAGAGATTACAATCAAAGGTAGAGTTGATTTAAAAAGGAAACCAGATATTATAGGTTTCAGGTTAAGGTTATGAAATGGAAGTAAGAGAAGCACAAACCATTTGTATCCAGAATCAAATTTCCTGTTGGCCATTTGTTGTTTCTTGCTGCCAATGAGTTTCATAAGGTGTGGAGTGCATATCAGGAATTTCTATTGACCGTAAACCTTTCTCATCTTCGTCTTCGTCCTCTGTCAGGACTGGAGCCGGAGGTCCAGAAGCTCATCTCAAAGCACAAACAGGAGCTGAAGAAGCTGCGGACGTTGCACGAAGCGGAGCTGCTGCAGGCCGACGAGCGAGCGGCTCAGAGATACGTGCGGCAGAGTGAGGAGCTGCGGCAGCAGCTGGAGACGGAGAAGGAGGAGCAGTGTCGGAGGGAGAGGGAGCTGGCCAAGCAGAGGTGAGCGACGTCATCGCATCACAGGATCCTTTTGGTAAACTGTTCAGTGAAATGTGTCACTGAAAAGTGGGCGTGGCTGTCGCTGACTCTCAACGCACCACCATAGTTTTCCTTTCTTTCCCTTCGTGAATGATGGTTTGTTATTGAAGTGAAAGTCTGGCAGCTTGTTTCACGCCGGACTGACTCTGTGGTTGAATCTGATGTCAGGTACGATAAGCAGCTGCAGGAGGAGGAGCTGTCTCTGCAACAGCAGAGGAGGCGGCTCTACAAGGAAGTAGCCGATGAGAAGGAAAGGGTGGTCGAGCTGGCCGCCAGGTAAGGCCGCCAGGTCGTCCACAGCAGCGTCGCAGGCCAAAGGGGCGTAGACTAAAAGTCTACACTGTAGAAACACTAAATCTTACCAAGTATTTTTGATCTAGTTTCTAGTGCAAATATCTTAGGACATTTGAAATAAGGCAAAGTTAACTTTTCAGCAAGACATAGGAGTTTGTTGTAAGTTAATAACTCCTTAATATTTATTTTAAAAAGTACTAGATCGCTGCAGCCTTACTTTATCTCACTTTTATGTCAAATTAAAGTCTTAAAGATATTTAAAGTCACCGTAACAACGTAGGAATATGTGACGCATTCGGGGTTGTTTTAGTTCTTGAATCTGTTCCTGAAGAACAGATTCTCTGAGCTGTGTCTGCGTTTGGCTGCAGGCAGCGAGGCGAGCTGGAGGAGCTGCGGCGGCAGCTGGAGGAGAACAGCTCGCTGGCCAGTCGAGCCCTCAGAGAGGAGATGGATAAGAGCCGGGAGGAGCAGGAGAGGAGGCACCAGGTGAGGACGGAGGGAGCCCGATTCCCGTCTGCGACGTCCGAGGAGCGCGGACGCTCACGTGGGGCGTTTTGTGTTTCAGATGGAGATGAAGATACTGCAGGAACGTTTGGATGTTGAGAAGCAGACGTGGGAAGAAACCTACAAGAAGAAAGAGGTGAAAACAACATCTGGTGTTGTTTTATCCAGTCTGACCCGAGGATAAAACTGTGCTTCTCCTGTGTCTCCACAGGAAGCCTGGATGCTGAGCCGTGAGCGCGAGCTGAAGGAAGAGCTGCGGCGAGAACGAGACAAAGAGATCGAGATCGCCATCTGGACGCTGGAGGAAGAGACGAGCAAGGACAAGGAGGAGTGTGAGCGGGCCGCAGACAACAAGTGTGTGATGAGGACCCGTTACAAAATCCTTTATATTTGCATTTTAGAAGCGATTTCTTACAGTTAAACTAAAAGCATTCCGATATTTTAGCATGTGCATCATAAAGACATAATCTTACTGAGGTATAGTTTGTCTTTCTGCTCATAAGGAGCCAAATCAATTCAGTTAAAGCTTCTAATATTTAAGTTTTGGCATGGCAAGATAAAGAGACTTCATGTAAAAACAAATAAAATTCTGTTTTGCCTTCCTATAATTGTGTTTTGCAAATTGACTGTACAACCTGAAAAAAAATATATATTTTTTTCAAACTTTTTATTTTCCTAGAATTATCTTATACAAACATGCAAAGGTTCAACCTAGGATTTTGACTTTTTTTTTTAACAGCCCATTTTAAATATTAGACTTAAAATATATATTCATATTGTTTAGTTCTGAATCTGGCCCAGGTCTTCTGGAAACTACAAATGTAAGAAATCAAAAACAAAGGCAAACATCAGAAATACGTTTCCCTCAAATAAACTGTAACACCATGAAGAAAAGCTAAAATGTTTACAATAAAACCAACAGGAATAAACAGGAAATAATAAAAACAAAACAAACACTAACAAAGAAATAAACTGAGAAAGATAGTCACCTGAATCATCATCCTTTTAACGCCGTCTCCTTTCAGGATAAGGCGCCTGAAGGAGAAGTACGACGCCGAGCTGAGGGAGCTGGAGCGCTCGGAGCGGGCCGCCGTGGAGAAGCAGCAGGAGGCGAGGAAGCAGCAGGTGGAGGCACAGGGAGAGCTGATCCGACTGCAGGCCGCTCTCAGACAGAAGGAGCAGGAGGTCCAAGATGTCACGCAGACCAGAGACAAGCTGGCCGAGGAGCGTGGCACCCTGGCCGAAGTGATACGGCAGGAGTTCGCAGACCGCCTGGTGATGACAGAGGAAGAGAACCGCAAGCTGAAAGTGGAGGTGTCGGAGGTCAGAGCAAGGCTGCGGTTGGAGCTGGAGAGGATCACCCGCGAGAAGGAGGAGGAGCTGGCCGAAGTCCACCAACGGTGAGATGATGACATCATCATTATTATTATTATTATTTACATTGATATTTAATTTAGTCGTGACAGTGCATTATAATTAAAAGTTTACTAAAGGGCTGTTCTTAATTTTGTTTCCCTAGAGAGATGTTAGAGTTGTCCTAAAAACTGAATACGAAGATCAAAACTTGCTACAAGTTTTTAAAAAAATCACCTTTAAAAGTATAGATGGCTCTGAAAATAATAATAAAAAAAAAACTCTTATGATACATAAGAGATGTGATGAATGGTTTTCAGTAGTTGCTGGAATGGAGGTTCACTTCAGTTCATTGAACTGAACCTCTGAATGTTATCTGGTCCAGATAACATTTAGAGAGAAGAACAAAAGAGGTTCTTTACAGTCTGACTGCATGGAGATCATTAAAAACATTCTAAATAAGATTTTTTTAAAAAAAATCACATATTTGATTTAAAAAAAATCTAAAATCAAGTTAGATTTTCTCTAAGTTGAACAACGGTCCAAATTTATGACTGATTTATCACCTTCTTTTCCTTAAAAAAAAAAAAGACTGTGATGGTTTCAGAAAAGTATCTTGTGACCGGGTAGGTCAGCCAGTGCAGGTTCATATTAGTTCCTGTTTTTATGAAGTTGAATCTGACACCTAGTTGAAAGGTTTTGTACTCCAAAGACGGATCTTTGTGCAACACCTGCAGTTGTTCGTCCACATGGCGACACACCAGCTATGAACACAGATTACTTCCCTGGTGAAGCAGAGTCACTACATGTCGCTGTGCTAACATGACCCAAGTTTGACATCATACGGAAAGTTTCCATGTCGGCCATGTTTCAGCTATAAAAATGAAAGTTTGTTTTTCCCCCCGCAGCTCTGCAGAATCCATCTGCAGGGTGGGGCATGTTGAACTGACGCCCACTGAATCACTGTGTTTTTATGACAATAAAGACCAGAGGGTTTCTGCTTTCAATGTGTTTTCAAACAAACAGGTGAAATTTGTCCATAAACATGCACCTTTTCCTAATTTGAGCAGATAAACTGGGCTGCATGCAGTGACCAGCAGAGGGCAGTATTCTCTCCTCTATAAAGAAACATACTGTATATAATGCTGAGAATAGTTTTGGGAAATAATTTTTTAAAACATTGTTAGACAATTAAAAGCGATAAGAAGCGCTTCACGCCGTGTTTATAGCAAAAAATAAATATCTAGTCTTATTCTGACGTCTCAGCAGCGACATGCAGGTTCTCTGGTTCATTCGGTTTGAAAGTGAAGCAGCTCAGTTATTGATGCCAGGTCCCGACTAGATTAACTAAATGTCTGTTTTAGAGCAAACTCAAACCAGACACAATGCGTCTTATAAGCTGATTTCAATTAAGATTTGAATATTTAGTTCTGAAAAATAGCAAAATTTGTGGCTCTTGTGGGGCTTTTTTCTCTTTATTTTATTTTATTTTTTTTCAGAGAAGTTTTGCTTATTTTTAACCTTACTGTCTTGGTACCCTAGGGTAAAGTCAGCCATCTTGAAGAAGGAAGAAACTGTGAATAATCTCCGTAAGCAGTATGAGGTGAGGTGCAGTTCTGTTTGGACCTGGGCTGGTTTTTAAATGCATCCTGAGTGACTTCCTGTCGTGAGTTTCCAGTTTCCTGCTCTGCATCCATGAGAACACACCAAACAGCTCCCCACGTCACGTTTCTCTAGACGCACTTTCTAACCCTTAGTCTGTTTGATAGGGAATTTTAAAAAAAGAAACTAAAGTTGTAAAAAAAAAAAAAACAAATGTTGATTATTAATCATTTTTCCTGTTGATTCATAAAAGAGTGCTCTAGTTTCTGCTTTTTTTTCTTATTTTTTTTCTTACTTTTAAGCTAAAAAAAAAACCTAGTGTAACAATCTGATTCATTTATCAGGACATTTTGTCACAACTTTTGATGACACTCGTGTTTGACTGATGGCGCTCAGGCCCATTAGAACAGATCTGCAGCTTTAACTTCCTCTGCTGCTGCAGGAATGAACAGAGCTGCAGGTTTTATGGGAAACCGGTTTTTTTTTTTTTTTTTTTTTTTTTTTTTTTTAGAAACTATATTGGCAGGAAAACATTTCTTGACAATTTGTACTCTGTTCACAAAGGCATGCTGTCTGAGGCATTGCTGCGCTTTCTCATGGTTCGTGTTCAGCAGCTCTTGACTCGTCCTCTGCTCTGATAGGCTGCTGTGAAGAGGGCGGACCACCTGGAGGCTCTGTGGGAGCAGCAGAGGAAGCATCTGTTGGAGAAGTGACTGACAGGAGCGTCTGGTCCATCCCCACCCCCTTTCAGCTGGTGGAGGTATTTTCTACCTGCAAGACTGAACCTGTGGAAGGCTTAAAATGTGACCTACCTCATTGTGAAAAAAGCAAAAAAGAAGGCAACATATCCTGGATTTCACTGTAAGCGCCCTCTTCATCCCCACCCGGCCCCCCCAGGGATAAAAAGAGGGTGTTGTTTTGGATTTGCCTTCATTTGTCTGCCACAGACCAGGTGGCTCGAGATCAAAGCGCCACACACAGACTTCCCTCATGCGGCGTTCCTGAGCAGGAATGTTCACGCTCCCTACGGGGACGGACCAGAGGAGACTTCCAGATTGTTCCCAGAGCCTGATGGCCTGCAGCCGGACCCAGCAGGGGGCCGTACCCGTCGGCGTCGCGTCGAGCATGAGCTCTACGCCTGAAACGAGTCGAGTGATCACTGACCCGTGTTTTTAATCGTCGTTTCACCCCCCCCACCCCGACGGCGAGTGCTAATTACAGAACTTTAACCAAGCGGGCCCCGGGTGCAGCTCTGCTTTGGGTTTAAAGAAACTGAGGCTGGTTGCAGACTGAAAAGAGAAAAGGATGCAGGACGTTAGTAAAGAGAGCAATGAGACGTTTGGGCAAGAACCAGTGGGGAAGAATGTCTGAGGTCGGATGATTGCAGAGCGGTTCTGAGGGTTTCTGAACGTGGAAGACAAGGAACTGGTGAGGAGGGGAGGGATGTGGGGAAGAAGGAATGCCAGAGAGAATGTGTAGAGGATTAGGGAAGCAGAGCTGCGACAGAGCAGGGTGGGTCGGTTGGATCCGAGACGGAGCAGCACATGTTGATCCTGAGGCTCCACAGAGAACAGAACAGAACCGGCTCCACACCTCGCTGGGAATCGGTTTGAATTATTCCCCGTTTCTTTCCTCGCAGGAAATGTGCGTTGATTCGATTTCAGTAGGTGAATCCTATTGTTTAGGTCCAACGGTGTCTGAGAGAAACAAAACGACCCGACGGGAAAGTCCAAAAGTCTCCAAACCACAATATTTATTCATTATTTTACCGTTATTTATTGCTGCACTCGTACTGCGGTGTTGCTGCTCCACAGAATCATCTTGTTAAACACGTCAAATGATCCATTTTTTTTTTTTTTTTTTTGAAAATGTATAACTGCGGAGTCTTTCAAATTGTGCCATTTTGCAAAAGTTTATTCAGATTTTAATTGTAGGGAACTTGATGGAACAACATTAGGTGACACATTCTGCCGTTGTAGAACACAGGCTGGGTCTGCATCAGTGGTTCGGACGGCTGACCGTTTCACCTGGTCGCCTCCAGAGGCCCACTGGTTCGAAGCAGCTCTGCTCCAGTAGGGATGCAGAGTGGGCAGACGTTTCTCACACCCTCGGAGTGTGACGGGTTCACCACCACTCCTCCCGTTGTTCCCGCCAAGTCATCCCAATTTGGTCGATTTGTTTTCCGTCCACCGACATCCTCTATATCTGTAAACATTTCTGGCCGAACGCAGATTTCCTGAATGATTTAATTCCCCCCCACACACAATTCTTGTTTTGGTGTTTTTTCACAGCGGTTGATTTAAAGAAAACAAAACTGTGACTTGAACGATGACTGATCTGTCTGCAGAAAGAGAATAAAAAGCAAACCGTTTGGAATTGCAGTTTGTTCCTCGTCTCTGTTCACTTCGGAAAACAATTCTTTGCTCGTCTCATTTTGTCCCCCCC